AATTTATTAATATATATAAAAATCGAATAAAAACATTTTATGCTTTACACATTTGATGAACAGTTTTCTAATCGTTATAAAAGCTATTTTGTATTTTATTCGATAATCTTTAATAAACTCTCAGATTCAAATGAAAATTTTCTATTTCTTATAATTGTTTTAAACATACCTAATCTAAATAATGAAACTGAAAATCCAAACATATATTCATATATTTTTACATTCTAAATACAATATGAATTATAATTCAAATAAATATTCGTATGTCATAATCAAAATACAATCCAACAAAAGATGATTTTAGTGCGGAAGAGAGGAATAATATTATCATTATAAGAAAAAAAACAAATCTAAGTTTTAATTAGACAGAATGACATCTTGAATAATATACGATGGATGTTAAGAAGTTTTATAATTACAATTAATGAATACATGTTAATTCTTTGAAAAAGAAGATAAAGAATCTTAGCAGTTGCATTTATTTTTAATATTCTAATTGCTTCTATAAATACTCATATATAATTAGCTTTGCTTTGTTTACACATTGCTAGATGTTAGTGGCTTGAAAAATTATTTAATTTGTTTATTGTATATCAAAGTTTTGATTATAGATATTGAAGAATTATGCCATGACTAAATCATATATTTCTTTATCAAAGAAATATACTTTTATGACATAGAGATTATTGTAAATTTCGTTTTCACATTCTGGAAACAATATACATGTTAAAAGATACAATAGAAATTTACCATAAACATTGTTTAACTTGTTTACTTTATCAATTATGTCAATGATAGTCGTCAAATACTCCGTGCTTAGATGATAAATCGTATGTTATTGTCAATGATTTAGGTTTCAATTTATTCTAATGATTAATTGTATTTGGTGTTAAACAACAAAATAGAAAAACACATAGAAGTGATTTATGACCTCATAAATCTAAAAATAAAACATTTCTTCTTGCATCTCAGTAAAATTTTAAAGCATAAATTCTTCAGGCTTTTTTTTTTTTATGATTTTGCAAAAAATAAATTCACATGCATAAAGAATACTAATCTAGAGTGATAAATTTGACAATTATCAAAGAAAAAATAAATTCAAGTTGAATGTAGATTAATTAATATTGGCTCTTCAAAAGTAATTTTGATATGAAAAAAAAAGAAAAAGTATTGTTGAAATCTAATTAATACTGCGTACGACAAATGGCAACTCGACTTAATAATAAAAATGTTCCCGTTGTGATAACGTAGATCGCAACTAGGCGTGTCGCGTCAGATTTTCTATTATTATTATTTAATACTAATGTTTATATTGAAACATTTGTTTTAATATTAATCTTAATGCTTTGGTGTTGGCATTAAATTGACATTTTTTAAATCTTTAATACATATCCTGTCTGTGATTAGAACTTGGGCACATCATATTCACAAGTACGTCTTTTCCAAAGTCGAACTGAGTTGCTCGTTTTTTTTTCAAGAGAATCTTCTCGAAATGAGACAAAAGCGGATTTCTTATTGAAAACTTTTAAGCTTGTATAGTCTGAAATCTAGTTAGAGATAATATGGGTATTAGAGATTTTGCAAATAATGCTGATTTAATGCTAACATCTAATTAATAGTTAAGTCTAATGCAAAATAATATCAAAGCTTTGAGCTCAGTTTTAATATTAATGTTTAAGTATTAGTTTTTTTTCCTTTCTCTAGGGCAAATGTTCATTTGATATTTCTATTTGTAACACTAATGAATGAATGATGAAATAAATACCTAGAATTTCAAAGATTGTTTGGTTTGAACTGCAATTTTTTTAAAATATCTGTTAGAATATCTCTAATAAAATTGTCAAGATATAAGACATAGGTTACATTTACTCAGTTTTAATTTTACAATTTACGAAAACTTAAAAATACTCAACAAAAGATTATTATCTTATGTAAAATAGTCAAGAGAAAAAAGTAAATCTACATATTTTAGATATGACGACAGCACAGACCTACTTTCTTTCTGCATTCGAATAATTATGTTAGATTCTCGGGGATGAATTTGTAGAATTAAAAGATTTTTTGTTTTCTTGTCATTAAAAAGTGACGTAAAACATGTTGCAAGATTTGATCCACAAATTATTTGTGAAAACAATTAGACGTGACATTTTTTTTTGTCCCTGAACTACTTTCCTGTTTTTTGAATGAACCATATCGTTATTATTGATGGAGAAATGCAAATAAAACATGCTTTTATGGCATTCTGAACTATTTTTTTTAATATTATAATCATGGAAAAGCTTCTTGCTACTTCATTATTTATTTAAGTGCATTCAACACTGTTCTTCGTATGTCGGTGAAATTAATAGCAGGTTTATTTGAGGAGCTTTATATACAAAGATATTGAGCCTCCATATTCTAACTTTTGTTATTTTGCACGATTGAACTAATTAACGTCATTTTGACTAGGAAGAAAAAGTACTACTTCATGAAATAATTTATGTGACAGTTTCTCCTTTCAAGAAAGAAGTCATTTATTAAAAAAACTTCTTTTTTTCTTTTACTAACAGGTAGATTAAATTGGTGACATATTACAATGGCGGAACCTATCGATAGAACTCGTCTTCAGACCGATCTTCGTTACAATTTTGATTATATGTCAAAATTTCTTAATTTTACTAAAGATGATATTTATATACTTAACACATTGGCTCCAATTTTATTTCCACGTATTCCATATATTGTTGAAACAGCTTATAAAAAATTATATTCATTTGATGTAACAAAACAATATTTTAATATTCCGAATGATGAATTTAAAAGTCTTTCATTAAATACAGGAACAATATTTACAGTTATGTGTTCGCAAACTAATCTTCTTAAAGATATATTAAATATTTATTTAAAACGTATATTAATACAAACCGAATGGAATGATACATTTTTACAATATTTATCAGAAATGGGAGAATTACATGAAAATCAAAAAAATTTAAAAGAAATTAATATGGATCATATGCCTATTATTACATTATTTGGTTATCTGGAACATTTAATGATTGATACAATATGGAAATTAGAAAATTTTGATATTAAAAAGAAACGTGCCGCTATACAAGCATTAAATAAATTTTTTTGGATACAAAATAATCTTTTTACAATGTATTATAGATTATCATTAAAAGAAAATTCAATTTCAAATGGAATTAATGGAAAAAAATAAATTTTAAAAATCTATTGAACATTGTAGTTTTTACTTCAATTGAATTCAACAAAAAAATACTTTAAATAATCTTATATGAAGTTTTTAGAAATTTTATATTAACAAAGAAAATATTCATTCTCTTATACAAAATGAAGTTTAAATAGGAGATATTATTAACCATACTTGAATGAACATCTGCTATTTTATTATAACTATAATCAAGTTTATAGTGAGACAGAAAAAGAAATAAAATTGAAATAATGATTTTATGAAAAATATTTTCCTTATTCAAGAACTAATTTCTAGGCAATAAGCAATATTGTCGCCATGCATACATTTTGCCAAGTGATACGAATACAACCTCCAAGGATGCTGATGGACAAATAGTTTAACAGAACATAGATTAACAGTGCATAATACTAGAAAAATTGGATGTACCGGCAACCCTAGTAAAAAAAAAGAATCGATGATTCACACTAGTTCAAAATAGTTCTTCATCATTTGATTATGTGAGAAATTTTATTAAATATTTGAGAAATATTTCATTGTATATCGATGTCGCTTCTGAACTATAATTCATATTTACATGAAGAATTATATGACAGCAATGGTATCAAATCATTTACTCAAAGACAGAAACATTACACAAGTCATAATCACAACTCAATAGCACTTTAATGATAGAATAAAGAAAGCTTATTTTTATTGAAATTTATACCAATTTTAAAATATATCAATAATTATTTCGGCAAAATTTTGATTTTCTTCATTTAAAGTACTTTTTATTATTACATAAATATTTTAGATCTAAATTAATAATGAATTGTGATAAAAACTTTCGTTTTGGCTAATAGACGAAGTAAGAAATAAACTAGCAACATATCTAATTATATATTGGACATACAACTTAATTGTGATTCGACATAAAATATTATCTAGGTTAGTATATATAATTAATTTCTTAAAATCCTTTTCAGACAGGCTTCTGAAATTTTACAAATTAATTATTCTGTGTATTTTATTCTCTCTTTCATAAACATACAAAAACATATCAATGATTTCTCTAAATCTCTTTAATTGATAAGTGTATTACAGTATTATTTACATAAATGAATGTATTAATGAAATTTTGTATCCTATGGGTAGAGCACAATAAAACACTTGAAGATTTTCTTGTTCTTAGAATGTTTGTTCATACCTTGTTTAGAATATGACGTATAACGATCCGTACATTTTTATTTACTTATGAAAAAATTTCAACTTGACACGTTCTTATGTCTGTACTGTTATAGTCATAGAACTTTTTAATGAGTTCGTTATATATCATGGCTAGTCAGTTTAGAAATTTATTTCGAAAGAAAAATGGAGCTTGAAGGACTAAGGTTGGAACAAAAACCGTAGTTTTATGCACAAATAAAAATTTTTTTCTTCAATGTAAATATTTTGAAAGATTGGAAATAGAGGCGTCGAAATTCTAGTTTCTTAGAGTTACATTTTCGAACATCTTGAAGTATTTCAACATAGGTTTTCTTCGATTTTGCTGCAAGTCACTATGTGTCCCTGGATTTCAAAAAATGAGCAAATATTTTCTAAATCGATACGAACGGAAATTTAAATATAATATCTATTCGTTGTTAATCCGATATGTAGTATTTTTTCTAGAAACAGAATTTCAATATTAATATTTCTACATATATCAATGTCACATTCTAGATAAAACTTGATTTTAATCGCAACTCTTTTGTTAAACTATTTCAAATTCTCAAGTATTTATCTTGTGCTAACAAATACAAAAGAAATTCTAAAACAAGTAAAAATTTACTATCCTAATCAAACAATAAATTCAACATTGTAATGAAAGCATAAAGAGATCTATGATTCGTACTGAAACCTTGAAAAATATTCATTATTAAAAACAATATATTAATATACATGATAACATGAAATGATTAGTAAATTCGATGGTAATAAAGATTTCTTTTTTTTTCTTTTTTGTTTTTTTGAAAAGAGGAAATCTGTCTAACGAACCGTAATTAACTTTAAAAAATAGTCGAAGAGTAAGACAATCAATTTCTCTTAACACAATGATTTCATGACATAAAGAAATGTCAATTGAAATCTTTTTGTATAATGTTGCCAGGTATATAAGATGCACGGAAATCAAAGTTGCAGTGAAATTTTTTTATTTTTATTTTCATACACCATTCGATAGAGAATATCACGGCGGTCAAGAATATATGTGTCTTGCAGTTTCTAAAGCCCTTTTTCTGGTCAAAAAACTGAAAAAATTTGGCACGTGTCAAAAACAGATAATTTGGCAACTTTTCATAGATTCCTCTTTTTTTAAAATATGCTACGAGAGANAAAAAATGAGAAAATACCTTTTTTTGTTCTTATAATTTTGTCCAACAAAAAACCACGGTTTTTAATAAACATGTACGTTCTAAAACTTCATATTGAAAACGAGAAAATCCGAGTTCAGTTTCGGATAGAGCATGTCGAAATGCATATGTATAGATACATGAACTATTTCGAGCAGATGAAAAGTAAAGACAAATGAAATGAAAATACTAAAAAAACTGTCTGTTCTTATAATTTTGTCCACTACTGTATATTTTTTTTGTTGTTTGATTAATATGTGTTTCATAAAATAAAGTTTTCCTTAAAAAAGGTTTTCTACTTGCAAACAACAATACATATTAAAGACTTGTTCTGTGATAAATATCGATGAAAATGTTTACTAATAAATTGAATGCATATCACAACTTTTCCAAAAGCTTGACAGATTAAAGAAGCTAAAGAATTGAAAAGACTCTAAAGTGACTGCTTGTTTATAAACCTTATCATAATAGAAATTGAACGAAATATGTATCGTCAATAAAATGATTACATTATTACTTATATATGGAAGGTTTTCTACTGTTAGAGAAGAACATTAGACATGTTCGAGACAAATTAAAGCTTTCACTAGGAAACTAATAAATTTAAAATATGATGTGCTTAGGGTTTGCATCAAACGAGAAAATCGATCTTATAGGTATTTACAGTTGATACTGTAGGATATCTACAAGTCAAAACTTTAACAATTTTTTCCTAATAACTGGATAGAGCTCGTTGTTTTTTGTTACTTTTTTTTGTAAATTCTTTTCTAAGTTTTGCGATGAATTCTATCCAACCATCAGAAAAATGGTGTTAAAATTTTGACTTCTGGATATCATCCATATACGATACTGTAAATACCTATAAAATCGATTATCTTGCTCTATGCACATCATAGACAGGTCATATGTCAAATTTATTAATTTAGCAATAAGAGCTTTAACTTGATCCGAATATGTCTACTGTTCTTTTATAATAGTACAAAATCTTCTATTGTTAGTGACTAAAGAAGTGTTGTCTTTTTCTTTAAATTTGTATCTAAAGTATATGTGCTTTTAAAATTACTTTTTTTTCATATCTGCTTAATTTATTTTATCTTATTAGTCATATCAAAAAACAAAGAACAAGATATTTCTCTTGTTTACTCAAAGTTATCGTTGTAAAGGAAAAAAGTCGCACTGTTTAATCCGTTTTACTTTCATCCAAGGACCATTGGACTGATTAAACTATTCCAAGTAAAAGTAAAATACATATGGTCGTTCTATTTACATCATCATCATATGGACGAGATCAGTACTCTATTTGTATATTTATTTTATTAGTAGCTTTTGTGAATCCGCCATTGGGAGGTAAAAGGTTAAACGTGATTTGCTTAATCCTTCTTACTGATTATAAAACCTTTGATCATCTTAATTCTTTTCTTTTTTTTGAATGAATGTTATTTATCTTTTTATTATCCCATGTTAGAGATATACAGGGTCGTCTTACTCCACCTTGCAGAAAAAGGTAGAGTAAGGGTTAGAAAATTTCTCACCATCAGGATATAGCATACAGGAAAAGTTTACCCTGCACATCTCTATCCTATATTTGGCTGTCATTAATAATTAGTAACGCTTTTGTAAATTTTAATATATATATGAAAATGAATTTGAAAACAAGAAATATTTTTGTCTTTTTTTTATCATTTAATTGAAATATTTCATTTGAATTAATCTTTATTTTATATAAAAACAAAAAAGAAGGTGAACAAATGATTATTTATATGTGCGTTCCGGACTATAAATACAGAATTGCCTGATTATCTGAAGGATTGTACACAATAAATATTTGTTACTAGACATTTATAGATAAAAAGATTTGATTGTCTAGTTTGTTTTTGCTTCATGTAGCTGATTGAGGTGTAGCACCAACAGCAGCTACCGGAGTTTCTCTAATTGTTGATTGATCACCACTTAGTTGACCTCTATTTTCTGCATCAGCTTGTTTACGAGGATCACTTGCTGGAGTTTCTTTACCAGCAATTTCTGCTCTGGCAATTTCAGCTGCTCTAGCTGTTTTATCATCTATTCATATAAAGAAATAAAATTAGTTGAAAAATAAAAAAAAAACTTCTATACAAGGATCTACTTACTGGCACCAGAAGAACTCATTGCTTATGGTTATTGATATCGTTTCAGTGTAAATTGTATATTATGAATGATAAACGGACTAGCATCAGTATTTTATATCCCTCCTTTTTTTTTCTTTCTTCCCCATTTTTTTCTCATGATCGATTATTCTTTTGGAGAAATCTACGAGTTTCGTATTTAGGTTGTTCGTTGTTCTTTTTCCTAATAGAATTAGCTAGAAAAAGACATGTACACGTGATATGACAGAAATAGTCATATGTACAAATGTGTGTAGTTAGTTTAGTTCACTGATAAATAAGGAGTGTGAAAGGAGAAAATAACATAGTCTTTGTTCTATATTTGGATTAGAGTTTGCTGAGTAAATAAAAAAGAATTATTATGTTTTACTGCCTGACCTCAATGGTCCTAAAGCAGTAACTACCTAATAACAAGTGTATCTGTTAGAATGACGTATAAAACATCAACGGAAAAAAAAAACAGCACAAGAATCAACATCTTTACAGAGAAATAAAACTTGATTTATTTTTGTTAAAAGACATTTGATTAAAAAATTATTTCGAGAGAAAATAAGAACAATTATCTGTACTAGAATGTCTCTAGATATTTCAACGTAGCATCTGGTAGCTTCCACATGAATAATTGCTATGAAATCAGATGAATCATAATTTGAAGTACTAATGTGAAAGGCTTAACCAAATACATCTACATGTGAGACAATGAATTGATCTTTTTCTTTGTTGTCACTCGAAATAATTCATATTTAAGCGCGATTGTTCAAGTAACAGATAACTGTCGAACGATTTTATTTTGTTCAATATGCATAACATTAATCACCAAATATACATTGGTCATCAACGAATGCGTAAAATAAATCATTCTAATGAAGATAGTGATAAGCTTGCTTGTGTGATATATAATAATTCGTTGTAAATCTGTAAATATAAGATAGAACGTATAGAATCATGTAAAGAAAAGTAATAAGAATATTGATAATAAAAATCAATCACATGTAGTAGATTATTGACTATCCAAATCTAATTAGATTTTTTTTCAACTAAATAAATTTCTAAGAAGAATTTATTTTGTATCTTAAGCAATACTAAGTAATTGTTAATTGTTTTTTTTTTGAAAAAAATTACTATCGAAATTTTTATCTTGATCATTGAGTTCTTCTTAATCATTTTCATGTATCCGAATCAAATAGTTACTCGTTGAAGTTGACAATTGAAATTATTATCTGCACGAATCATTTAAATATACTTATTCTTGCATGTATAATTCACATTAATAATATCCAGAGTTCTGAATCTCGAAAAATTTCGTTTGTTCTATCCCGCGAGTAGAACCCGTTGGATGCAAACTTTTTAGATATGGATTCGAGCGAGTTCGGGACCTATCCGACCGGCTTTACCCGCAAGACATTCGAGATCAAAACATTTTAGAAATGAAAACTGACAAAACGATAAACAGCTGTGAATATCACATTGTTCTTTATATCAATTACTTTTCTTCTTGAACCGAATGACTTCTCTAATATCAATGAGAGAACGTTGTACTATCTGAAGGATACATACGTATCCTTCGTCTCTGGTTGACAAGTGGAAATAAAATAGTTGTTGAATAATATGAATAAGAATAAATAATTGATTAAAACAAAATTTATCAATAACTGATGATGTACGAGTTATTGAATCACATGACATTTACACATCCTTACACTAGACTATATGTTTATTAATAGATATTACGGAATGAGTAAGAACAGAAGATTTTTTCCGTCTGTTGTCGATAAGTACAAAAATGATTTTTGTTGATCTGTATAAATTACGTGATTATTTGGTATTCTGATTTTTCTTTCAAATTTTCATTTGATATTGAAAAAAAATATATTTTAAATACTTAGGAAAATTGAGGAAGTTTTTTTTTTTTATTTTTCATAAATTTTATTAATAGATGAAAGATGAAAATGTTTTTTTTATCATATCGATCGAAAATTAAATTTATCATGTATATTAAGACTATTTTGTCAATAGATCAATAAACGAAACTTGACGGATTAGAATTGTTACCACAAAAAATCTAGATAAAGTACTCTTGTCAGCTAAATGTCCTTGGCACGTGTACATAACATTTCTGTACGCGTGCTGATGCGTTCGGTTCTTATAGGGTAGAATGATCATTACAGTGGATACGTAATAGCAACTAAAAATTTTTTCTTTAGTTTACTAGAGATTATTTTATATAATAAAATCCGACTTTGTTTTATAAATATTATATTTTCAAAAAAACAAAAAAAAAAATCTTCGAATAAACTTTATTCGGAAACAAATCAGACTGATCTAATTAAAAGAAACAAAAAAGAAAAAAAAATTGATAAACATTGATTAATGTCTACGATTATACCGTATATGTCAAATAAAATTAAAAAATAATGTCTTTTGCAATAGGTAAACTCTTGAAAAACTGAAGAAGTATATTAGCATAAGTAAGTATAGGTGATGTATTGTTATCTGATGTGTGTCCAAATAAACGATGATACAATCGATAAGGTGCTAAAGCAAAATGACCAAGTGTATGAGATTTAACAAGAGCATAACATGAAACATGAACATTATTAACAATAATTGTTCCTTGTTCAGTTAATGGAGCCATAAGACCTTGTCTATTAACTTCACTTATATCAATAATTTTTTCCCAATTTGTTTTATTTGTATTTTTAGATGATGATACAAGTATTTCATCACCTTTTATTAATTTTTCAGCCCAAATAAAACCATCATTACGATGACGAATTAAATGACGATCAGATAATTCAATGGCAGCATTTTTTGTACGAATACGTTTATATGAAGCTTTTTCATCAAGTTCACGATGAAGAAAAGCAATTATTGGTGAGTAACTGACTTGATTTTGATCATCAATTATTCGAACTTGATCACCAATATTCAATGATGATAATCGAACTTTACCAACATTAAGAACATCAACTGTTGCATCCGATGGAAAACATTCTTGTTCTAAATAATCAAATATATATATATATATATATAAGACAAATCAAAAAGAATATTTATTCAAAAATAAACTTACGTTCACAATAAACACCCTTATTTCTATTACGACATTGACAATAAAATTGATTATCGGGTTTTCGTACACAGTAACCGTTATTTAAACATGGTGATGGATTACAAGGATCATTACTACAAGTTGGACCTGAGAATTCAGATGGACAACTACAACCACCATAAGGTTCTTCATTTGTTCGAATACATGTACCTAAATATAAAATAACCAAAAAACGAGTAAATTCATGAATATCTAATCAATTCTTGGGATAAAAGATTGAAAGAAAACTGAAAACTCATATTCATTGGATTTAAATTTCCATGATTGATTCTAATAATCTTGCCGAAGTTTTGCTTTTAATATTCTCTCATATCATTTCCTTACTTTAATTTTCTACCAATGGAAAAATATTATATTTTTATAACATTATAAAAATGAAACACGATGTACTTGCCATGACTAATCACTGGAAGATTGTTCTAAAGGTAGTAGATCATATGGTATAACGAGACATTATTCGTATATGATTTTTTTATCAGTAAATTTTACTTTCAGTTGGCTATTAAAATGAATAGGAACACTTATCTAATTGGTAAGATATAATGAAGATGTTTGCATGGATGAGTATGTTCTCATAACTATCACTTACCTACGTTCCCAAAAAAACTTGATATTAAACATATGCATAATTCAAATTAATCTGTTTATTAATGTTTTTGCTGTATTTCAAATTTTCTCTTCTTAAAAAAACACTTTTCTTATGAATATAAATTTTTATAAATGAGATAAACAGATTGAATCGTTTATCATTGACTAAATACTAATCTGTAGTGTTTTGATATTTAAATAAGTCGATATTTTTATCTTGCGATCATTTTACACTTTAACATTTTTTGCTTAGTTTTTTTTTTTTCGTTCAAAGTAGAATTTACATATACTTCAACATTTCTTGTAGGTCATATTTCACAAAATATGCAGAAGTTCTATATTTTTGAAATTTTTATATCTTAATTAAATTCCCAATAATAAGAATTCTGTTTTAGAATTCGTCCTATTCCTAAAAAAACTCTAAAAACTTTCATCATCTCAAGCAAAAATTAACAAAAAATGTTTTTCGACTAACATTGCTTTGTTATCCGTTCTCATTTCACTAATGTATAAAAGTTGATAAAAAAAAAAAAAACTATTCATAGATTTATCGAAAATATTCTTAAATGTTTACCTCCATTTAGACAAGGATACGCTGAACAAAAATCTGTTGAATCACATCTTGGTCCAGCAAAACCCAATTTACAAACACATTCATTAGCCGTACATGTACCCTAGATTTTAAAAATAAAATTCACCAAAACAGAAACAAAACAAGAATAACACTAAATCTTTTCTACTTCTTTACCTGTGTACCATGGCAAGTAGCACCTCCACAAGGTACATAACTAAATTGATTACATGTTACACCACGAAACACTGCTGTACATAAACATTGAGCTAAATATATTCAGAAAAAAAAACGAATCATCGTCATCATATAGAACTTTTAGTTTTTGTTTTTTTTTTGTACCTTGATTATTTTCCAATAAAACACACGTGCCACCATTTTTACTACAAAATAAAATATATTGTTTTCAATCTTATTTTTTTTTTCTTTTATATTTGTTTTTTTTTTTACCAAGGATTTGGATTACAACCAAATGGGTGTACAGCTGTTTCACAATAAGTACCTCGATATTCTGGTGTACATCGACAATAACCATTGAATAGTCCTTTTTCAACGCATGTACCATCATTTATACATGGACTTGTTGAACAATAACTCTTCTGTTCTCGAATACCATTTAATGTGCGATTATATAGAATTTCACAATAATCACCTATGAATCCTTCATGACAAATACAAATACCCTATTATAAAAGTAAATATAATAATCTTTTTGTTTTTCCTAGAAAGTTTAATAATCATTTTTATGTTACTTTCGTTGTTGCTGAATTCGTTATAAAACAACTTCCACCATTTTCACATGGATTTGTTAAACAAAAAACAAATTTTGAATGATCACCCACAGCTATAACATAACTATTTGTTCGATGATCAACAGCATGATGATTAGCACTTGATGAACCTAAACCAGCAATAGCTGCTATTATATCTTGATCATATGGTCGATTTTCAACAATTGGAATTTTTTTATTTGCTTTCGGTAGTGTTGTATATTGACAATAATCACCACGAAAATTTTCCGGACAATTACATCGAGCACCAAGACCTAATTTAAATTATAAAAAATAAACAACAACAATATACAACTATTAATTTCTTTGATATATCAAAAATGAAAAAAAAAATATTATCGTTCATAGATTCTAATAAACATACCAGTTAGAACACATACTCCATCATTAAGACAGCTATTTGATTGACAAGAAATTAAAGTCCGACAATCTTTACCAGTATAATTCGGTGGACATAAACAAAAATAATCTAAATTAGCAACATTAACGCAAGTACCACCAAACCAACATGGATGAGCATCACATTTTGAACTAGCATTACATAAACGTTGACATGTTTCACCACAAACACCCTTTAGAAAAATTTAAATAAAATCAAAAAATAAAACAAATATTGATTTAAACTACTTGAACACAATGACAAGATTTCTTTATTAATCCATTAGAAAGTCGTAAAATTTCACATTCACCACCACGGCAATCATCTGTTTGACAAAATTCTTTATAAAAAAAAAATAAATAAAAAATATTAATATTTTGTTCTTTGTCAAATGTATTTCATTTACCAGCATTAATATAAGAACAAATTAGAGTAAAATAAATAATGAACAAAGTTGTCTATTAAAATCAATTTTTTATTATATATTAATAAGTAATTTATTAAACAATAATAACTTACTTTCATATTGAAACGTTATTCGAAATAGAACACTACTTGTGTTTCTTTGCTTTTTTTGTTAAGTAATTTTAATCATGAACGATCTTTCTTTTCTCTCTCTCTCTCTCTCCTATCATTATTCTACTTATGTAAAATAGAGAGAAGAATATGCATACGAAAGTTGATCCTGTTCAAATGTCGGCGAGCGCACTTGGAGGTAATTGTAGACTTATATAAAAGAAAATGAAATAAGACATTTGTTTGATTGAGATAGATGACATAAGCTAATAAGGAAATGATGACCTTAGAAGAGGATTTTCATTTATTATATACTGTTTCATTTTTTTTTTGTGTTGTTGTGTTTTAAAAAAAATGAAGAACTTAATGCATAAATGTATTCTAATGACCTTGCCAAAATAAAATATGCTAATATGAAATACAAGACTAAGTGTTCAAAATATATGAGGGGGAAAAATACAGACGTGTGTGTACAAACGACAAACAAAACAAGAAAAAGAAAACACAAGATTAACACACATAAAAGAAATGAATTAATTTGTCTCTTAAATTATATATTGTGTTTCCACAAAATTTGTACTAATTATAATATCAGGATTTATATGTTTTTGTCGTTCTTTCCATGGCATTATTGCTAAACGAAATCTCTATTTAATGAAAAAAAAAGAAAAATAAATAAACATTAATCAAAATTCTTTTTTTTTTAATTACTGTTGATAAATTTCCTCGTTCAATTAATAATTGATAAATAGCAACAGCTGGAATGAATATTACTGATGATAATGCAAATATCCAACCAATTACATGACTCCAGTTAGGATACTAAAATTTTTTTATAATTAACAATTACTGTCTATTCAAAAATATAATGACTATGGGTATTTTTACAAAGACTCAAGAATGAAAAGAATTAAACAGATGCAGTTTTTACCGTTCTGAAGGCAATTAAGTGTTCTATCGACTTACTTAGAGACGATAATAAAATATTGACTTTTCAGATTTTTTTTTTATTAATTGTTGAAAAATTCAGGCACGATTTTCTTAATTCGTATCGTGATCTATAGGTTTTAAATATGCAAAGAATAATAGCCCAAAAGATCTTTCACGTAATATTGAAAGGCCGGTCTCATAACACAAACTTACAAGTCCATATAGCAAAGCAGGTTATTGATTAAGGTTTTCTTTGCGGCACTAATTATTCAGCATCTCGAATAATTTGTGTACTTGAATATGAATAGATAAACTATGTGGAAAGAACAAAACAGGCAGCCTCAAAAGAATGAGAGTGTCCGTATTTTTTCAATACTTTCTCTAATTTTCACAAGATTCGAACTGAATTTTTTGAAAAAAAAATTCACTATTTGATTCCCTGCAAAATCATACACAAGTGTATCTCAAAAAAAAAAACAAGAAAATATTATTGTAGTAATATTGTAACAAGCTGAGTCTTTTGAAAACAAAGTTAAGTCAGCATCTATGAAACTTCGAGAAAATACGAAAATCCATTAGATTCAAAGTAAGTAAATTAAAATGCAAAAAAAATAATAAAAAAGCACAGTTTTCTAAGGAATAGATTACGAAATATTATTTATTCAGATAAACGAATATTTAGTGTTGTTTTGATGGATTGTAATCATCTTTATATAATATAACATTTAGTTAATTCATGCGCTTATATAATCCCTTTTATGATTGTTGTTATTTCGAAAGGAAACTTGCATAACGAAACTCTTGAAAAGAAAACATATCAACGACTCTTATAACACTAATACAATGTGACCAAGATGATACAAAATAATTAAATATTTTTTTGTTTTACATTTTAATCACATATTTTGAATCGATATTCTTTCTACACAGTTTACTTCCTCATCTTTGAGCTTACAAGTTGTATTATTATGAAAAAACACTGTCATGGATTGCAGAAAAACGGATGTCACTTTTCAATCATAATAACTAGAGAAACTAGCCTTTCAACATTTTGTAGACGATCTATTGGGCTATTGTTCTTTGCAAATTTCAAATCGATAGGTCATAATAAGAGTTAAGAAAATCCTATCGGAACCTTTCAAAGATTAATAACGAACACTATCTGATAACTTGATTTTTCTGTTCATTTATTAATGAATGAATAGAGCACTTAATTGTCTCTACAATGACGAAAACTGCAGTTCTCTAGCTTTTTTCCTATCTTGAATTATGAAAACAAGTACCCGCGGTCATTATATTTTTCGAGAGATAATAATTTCGTATACCTCATAATAAAATGGATCACTTAATTTTCCATAATTTGGATGAATATGTTGAATAAGACCAGATATAACAATGCCCTTCGAAAATTAACAAAGAGTAATAATTATAATGGTTGGTCGATAAAGAATGAGGCACTTTTATTATTTTAGTTTCGCAGTGCAGATATAATCGAGATAGATTGTTTTTATATCATTGGATAAAGGATCTGTCGCTCTACAAAAGTATTTATTGTGTTTTTTTTCGTAGGCTAAAAATTAACATCTATTCAAATGATACAGTTGCGATCTTGTATTTTCTGCAGACACCTATAGACTCTATGTTTACAAGGTTCCTAGTTTCGAAAATCTTTAAGCTTTTCTGAATTAAAAACGAACATTGGAATAGACTGATCATAAAAAGGTCTTTTGCGAAGTTTTCTAAATTTTGAAAAATATATCGGAAGATGCAGAATTTTAAAGAGAGTCCTATAGCATAGTTTAACCACTCAAGCATGTCTCAGTCTCGAAAATATCGGGCTTACAAAACTAATAGTTTTGAAAAAAAGAAAAAAAAATTACAATTTTCTTAAACAAAATATTCTTTACCATCAACAAATAGAGATTTTGCGGATTTCTTGTAAGATCTAGATTGACGACGAGGGTTAATTGTGCTTAATATAAGTTTCGAAAGTTTGACACTAGCTTAACAAATTATATGTAATAATCCGAAAATAGACCGTATTATCACTATTGGGGATTCACAAAACAATGGAGATTATAGTTAATGTATGTATTGTAAACCTCGTCACATAAGAAGTTCAAATAATATCTAATATGGATAAAATATTTTTCGTGATTATACAATTCCTCAAAGAAAATCAGGTGATTATTTGATAATACGTGCCAAAAATAAATGTATATTGTTTCAAAATTAGTTTTTATGTATTCACTCGTTCCTTTTGTTTTATTAGTTTAAAATTATGGGACATAAGCTGCTTTTGTCGGCTCAACATTGTCATAAAAAAAAATCAAGACTTCTAATGTTGTTTAATCCCTAAGTTCTACTGCATGATCATTTGATTAATCAAAGTCATCCTACATCAAAAGCAGGACATCAGATAGATCTAACCACACCATAAACACATTAGAAGAGCTAACATTTCATTTATAAGATTATTTTATTAGTAGTTCTTTCGGAGCCACTGCAAGGAGAATAAAAAGTTACACTCGACTATTTCTGCACTGGTAAAAAACAAAAATAAAAGTATCCCATTCTTTATGGATCATTCATTAGAAAAAACATATGATCTTTCTTTATTACTCCGAGAAATAATGGTGCAACTAAACACCATGTTATAATCCAAAATTTTCCTGGTTTCGTTCCAAGCATTTCTTTAATATCTTCACTAATTCGTGTTATACCATAAAGCCAAGATACAGCTATTGCTTCAAAAAGCACAGCAATAATTATTGAATAGAAAGCTTTAAAATAAAAACAATAATAAATTTAATTCACAGAAAAAAGAAATACCAGCGTAATTTTGTAATAATTCAACAAAATAAACACCTGCATCAGTACAACTTGGTATTCCAATAATAAAGTAAAATGAAAATAAAATTCCAACAAACCATTCTCGATGTTGACGAAGAACTGGAAATACATCACTTAAAGCTGTTATTATTGCTTCACTTCCACCAAACTAAATCAAAAATAAAATGAATTTTTTTTTTTCTTTAGTTAAGTAGAAAATATTTAAGTTAGAAAGTACTGATGAATCTAAACCAAGTGTTAATAACATTAAAAAGAAGAATACAGCCCAAACAGGTGCCCATGGCATTGTTGCTATTGCTTCTGGATACACAATAAAAACAAGTGTTGAACCTTGTTCAGCAACATCTTTTATATCTCGACCTGATATTTCACTCATATAACCCTAGAAATACAAAATATTTAATGATTGATTGATTAAGAAAGATTTTTTTTCTTCAATCAATCAAATGAATAAAAATAAAATATTAAAATTTATTTTATCTTATTTCATTCAGCTCATAAAATAAAAGCGAAATAATATGCTTTCTTTTCAAAATGTGAAATTATTTGTATATTTCAATTGAGTACAAACATTCTTGATTAAGTAGGCAAGGTCATTCATGATAAATGTACTTGTAATGTGAGGAGAAAACAGACATTGTTGGAATTCGATCAATAGAACTGATTTGATTTATGATGAATTTGGAAAGCTTGTAAAACTCATATGACTGATCTCACAGTTTTATTCGATTTCTTTTCGTGATACTGACTGATATTAAAGGATAGTTGGTAGATATTTTGACTGTTACACCTGTGAGAATGAACATTTCTTGATGCTCCAGTATTTCGAGAAAGAACTGTGTTTTTCAAGTATTATTCAGTAACGCGCTCAAAACTTTCGGATAACAAGGCATGAGCGATAACCTTAATGGATTTTAGGTAGTCTCACCGAGTCCGACATATTGATAAACTATGAGTTTTATTGGCATCCAAAAGTTTTACAAGGGAACTACTTCAACTGATACCCACTGTTTGAGATCATATTGGACCCATAGGCAGATCTCAGTGAGAATAGAAAAATTTCAAATTCATTCGTTCTCATTGGTCTTTGGTGGCGAGTTATGATTGATTTACCGACTTTTAGATACTCCTCGGAAGAATGAGTAAAGAAGTTTTGATTCAAAATTTTGTCTATATATAGGTCTAATAAAAATCCTTTTGATACAGACATGTCAACAAATCGAGTTCACTTGAAAATTGAACAACTCGACAAAAGTACCTTCTTTTCGATTGAAACTTTCAGAATACTCTAAAACTCATTGTACCTATCTATAAGCAACGTTTCGAATCAAATAGTCCGTTACTCGCTCTTCCAGAGAGTACCTAAAAATGAGTCAAAAATCTAGTAAACTTATTATAACTCGGCGATAAAGGCTTACGGAGACAAATCCTTTTATGCTTTTGTTACTCTCACCGAGACCTATCTGTGGGCCCAATATGAGCTCAAACGGAGAGTGTTAGTTAAGATAGTTCCCTCGTTAGTATTGCGAACAGTACTAGCAGGAAAGTCAATGACTCATTTCCAATCTTGAAAACTTTTCGTTTCTCTTCAGCGAAGTTATTTTTTTCACCAGTCCTACAAAAAACGCTCGAGCTCTGTCAATCGTGTCGACCTCGAGACATCCCTGAGTATTAGTTTTCCTTTTTTTCTTCTCTATCAATAAAACTTACCAAAAACATAAAAATCACAAATCCACTAGCAAAACTTGTTAAACTATTGACTGCTACTGTAATCATTGCATCTCTAAAAATGAACAAAAAATAATATTAATTTATATGTCAAAAAAAAAAAATTCATACCGATAAACATTATGATGAAAATCATTATAACTTGCAAAAGCCATTAATACACCAAAACCAGGTCCCAATGAAAAAAATGTTTGTGAAGCAGCATCAACCCATACAGATGCATCAGTTAATTTACTTAAATCTGGTCGAATATAGTATTCAATGCCTTTCATTGAACCATTTAAAAACAATCCACGAACCATTAATATTGCTAATACAACATAAGGAAATAATGCAGTAAACCAAACAACCTAATTTGAAAAAAATTCAAAAATAAAAAAAAAAAAGCGAAAAAGTTTTTATTGCTTTTTACTTTGCCCGATGTTTTAATACCTTTCCACATTGAAAAATAACAAATAAGATAAATAATAGCCAGACAAGCTAGATTTTCCCAATTGATATGTCCTAAATTACCTAAACTAAAATTTGATTCTGGCTTAAGTCGATAGACTTGTAAACTAATAAAAAAAAAATTATTTTAAATTAAGAAAAACAAAAACAAGATTATGAAATTACTGGAAATATTCTTGTGCTGGTGATACAATTCTTAAACGTGTTAATTCTTCGGAACAATTTTCATATAAAAATTTTTTTTCTAATAATTTTTCAGATGAACTTATTGTATTATTTGATTGATTCATACAATTCTCTAAAAAACTACGACGTATATTAACAGTAGAACAATCTTTTGTATTCCATGCATGACCTAAGAAAAAGAACAAAAAATCATCATGAAAACAAAAATAAACAAGTAATATAACATACTGCATGCACTCCATGGTAAAATTCGTCTCAATGAAGCAAATAAATAATATAAACCCCATGATATAACAACATTATAATAAAAATCCGTATAGAATGCAATTATAGTTACAGCCCATCCTATTCCAGCTAATAATGGACAAATTTTTTTCCAACATGTTATTGAACCTTGTCGATAATATTGACCAAGTAAAAGTTCCAAATAAAATAAAGGTAAACCACCGAGTATAACTGAAAGAATATATGGAATGAGAAATGCACCTAAGAAAAATTTAAAAAAAAAAAAAAAATCATATTTTAAAATGAATAAATTTTAATAATAATAACAAACCTCCACCATTTTTATAGCATAAATATGGAAAACGCCATATATTAGCAAGATCAACAGCAAAACCAATAATTGATAAAAGAAAATCAAGTTTTTCACTCCATTGTTCACGAACTTCTGTTTGTATTTGATTTGATTTATTTATTGTTGTAACATTAATAAGTCCGACACTATTTTTCTTTTTCGGTTGTTCTACATCCGATATATTATTTTTAATTATGATCATTGGAACTGAATTTGTACGAGTATTATTAATAAAAGCCACTTCATTATCACGTTCATATGAACGTCTTCTAATCATTCTATGTTCATCACCTGAAATAAATACTTTGCTTTTATTCAGAAAAGAATAAGATGATAATTAACTTGTCAACAACGTAATTCATCACATCTTATCTGATATATGTCATATAAAATATTGGCAGAAACAAAAAAAAAACAACAGAAAATTTACTCAAAAACTAACAACAATTTAATGATAATTGCTTGTTAATTTTGATATTTTTCTTTTTTATCTGATTTTGTCCATTATCTTTAGGAATTATTTAGTTCAAAAATTTAGATTTATTTTTACAATTTAATCTAAAATAACGAGTTGTACAAAACTAATTCGTCTTGGTTGAGATCATCATTGATAAAATAATAATTCTTTTCGTACTAGAATTAAATGAGAATTTTTTTTCAGGCATATTTCATCACTTGATAGGTTCATATCAAGATACTGTTCGTCTATCATAAACAACAGAAAAAGTGTAGAATAAATAGGATAATTTTATCTGATCTATAATTATTTGATTACTCGATCAATCATATTATACTTTTATTTCACTTAGCAATCATCAATATGACACTGTAAATATTTATATTGTTATTGATTATAATCTACTGATGTTCATATATGAATGAAAATTAGGTACAAATAATTAAACTTAGTTAGGTTATTCTCATAATTTAATATTAGTGTTTATACGTGCAAGTCAATATCTTTTATTCTAGTATCGCCTGAAGAAATTTCGGTAAGTTCAATTATAGTTTTATATTAGCGCAAAAAAAAAGTTTAAAATCATGTTTTACTTTTCCATCGCAATAGTATTTTTTTTTTTTATATCCAGGTGCAAAAAGAATGAAGAATAAAAAAAAATAAAAGTAATATCCTAGAGCAAACATTGTCTCGTATATGAAATAATCAACCTGATCAAGAAACTAATTGATATAATCTAATTGATCTATTCCGAAAAGAAAAAGTTTCATTTGTTATTAATTATTCAATTTTCGACAACGAAATTCTTTTGTATTTAATATTATTGATTTTAAATCTCTTAATAAATATGTTTCGACAAGATCATATGTTAAGAGAATGTCTACATATAAAATGTAGATCTTTTACATTTTACTTTAAATAGTACAATACAATGATATATATGATTAATTTTTAAATAATTATTTTCAAATAAAAGAAAAATAATAAAAAACAAAATTCATTAATACTCACGTCCATCATTATTATAAACATTCGGATGACTTAAAATACGTTTAACCATGATGTATAATATATTTTATTGTTATATAATTCAATAATTCAATTTAATATTCATACCATGATCATTAATAATTGTAATATTGAATAAAATACCTTGAAATAGAAAAGAAGTAAAAGAGATTTTTGTTCAATCTCTCATATTATTGAAAAGATAGAAAAACGAAGGAAATAACCATTTAATCAACGAGATTGGTGCTTTGTCGTTTGTTCTCTTCTTTGTGCCCGATCGTCTTTTCAATAATTGAGGACAATGACAAATTTTTCAAACGACAGAAAAAAAAGAAGAAGAAGAAAACACCGACAAACACAATCAGAAAATACCGTTCGATTTTTCCTTTTTTTTTTTTTTTTTTTTTTGTCACAATTGTGCTCGTTTATATTTTGTTCTTCTAATGTCAATCTATAATATGTTTCTTCGATTTTGTATTCACTTCTTATATTCTCATTGTGATTCTTCTACCTTAAAGGACTATCTATAAATGTGAAGAATAAGAAAAAAAAACAAAATTTATATACTCATCCTTTCTATTTTAATACACAAAAAGAAAAATGATGACTTGACTATCTTGGTCTTTTTTAACGAATAAATTTGAATTGATAAAGCCGGATATTATAAATCAAAAGAATTATTTACCTCTTTGGCAGCTCGTTCGTTATCGGACGTATTTCCGTTATTATAAAACAAAAACGTTTATATTCTGTTGTTATGAAATACGAGTAATTCTGATTATAATAATTTTATATTCATGAAAACAACGAAATGTTTGGTAAATAGATATCAATCAAAAAGCTTGAAGACATTGAAGAAATCTATATCCTATTTACATTATAGAAAGTGTCATGAACACAAAAAAAAAAAAATGAATAATCGATCGATAAATGGCAAAATGAATCAAAAACATCCGTACTTTTTTTTTTCTTTAGCTTAAAGCATCAAATACCGCAAAGGAAAAAAATAATAAAAGAGGATGCTAAATATGACACACACACACACATACATATCATCGAAAATTGACTGGGTCTCAATTTTCAAAATAGACACCTATTTAAATCACTACTATTGAAATAAGATGATTTATTTATTCAGATCAAAACAAAAGAAAAAAAATACATGATGATTTTATTTTTTTATGTTGTTTTTGATATTTCAAGATATTAAAATAGGTAATTTCGATGGATTTTTATCTATCGATATTTGTTTTCGTTTATGTTTATCAAGCGTTTTCGAACAATAGAATGAATCCATAGAATTTAAAATATAATTTAGATTTATTGTTTTTCGTGATTGATTTTCAATAGTTTTAATTGATGATAATGGTTTAAGAATATGATCAATACGATTTGAATGAATTAATGTTTGTAAATGATTATATTCACGATCACGAAGACGTAATAATGCTAATTTACGTTCAGATTTATCATCACTAACTGTTTTCATTAAATCGATTTTATTTAATTTATCAACTTCTTTTGATTGTCTATGATCATGATTAATCAAATCGGATATATGAGAATCAATATCAGATTTTCTATAAACAAAAACAATTTAAAAGCAATAGAAATATATAATAGATAGAATAAACCTTTCTTTAACTTCTTCAATAAGAGATAATGATTCATCATCAAATGTTACATTTGTTTCACTAGAATGATGTGAATTAGATGATGAAAATTGTGTATGTTCTTTTTCTTGTTTTGTATGACATTTATTGGATTCAGTTGTTTTCACAGCTTGATGACGAAGTAATGGTAAATAACGATTTGTTTTACTTAAAAATCGTTCAGGATATTGACGAAATTCTTGAAGAGTACTTTTTACTACCAATGTTCTCGAACTTGGACGTGTCATTTTTGATAAAGGTTTTTTCTCGTCTTTTTTATGATTAATAATTGGTATTGAAGCAGTTGAATCTGTTGTATAATTGTGATGTGGTCGTACTCCATGAACTGTTATTATATTCCGATTTGGTTGTTCATAATCAATTATTGAACGCGATTTGCTAGATGCATGAGCTGATTGACTACCAGATTTTATATTAGTCCGAATTTGAGCATGATCGTTTGAATTTTCTTTATCATCGGGTATTTCTATTGGTTTTATAGTTATAGGCTAGCATACAAAATATATAACCAGTATTTTAAATGAATTTTTAAAATTTGCATTCATTGACTGAATAATCCTATTTTCGATATCAGCTTTTTTTCATATAGATAAAAATAAGTTTCATTTCATTACGTTTATCTTTCTCATTTAAGGGGACCCCCTTTCCTGAGCCAAAAAAATATTTTTCGATTTTCTTTTTTTTGTATAAAGGTGTATCAAGGTCCCCTCTATGTGTGCTATAAAAATCAGAACTATCAAAGGTCGGGAAGTCTCTGAAAAACCAGGTTTTTTGAAGATCTATGCATTAAAAAAAAATTTTTTTTTTTAACATAAAGTTATATTATGATATGGTATACCTAAATTTACGTATAAGCGGAAAAAAAAATTTTTCTACAAGTTTTTTTTATTTTGCATTTTTCTCAAAACTAGTTTTTTGGGTATCAAAAACCAGTTTTCCCCCTTTTTCTCCGCCATTTCAAGTCCGATCGGGCTGAAATTTTTTTTGGTGAGACTTCAAGTGATTTGGGTTGGCCGTTTTTTNATCTCGCCGAAAACCGGGTAGTGAGGTAGAAATCTCCTATGAGAGTCTGTAAAAATTTAGCCTTTTTTTAAAAATTTATATATATTCTGAAAGAGGAAACTTCGCTGCATCTTCCTATGATAAAAACTCGACTTCGATTACTTTACCAAAAAATGGATTTTCTGAGGGGGGGGGGGGGCCTTAAGTCTTTCATTTATTTGCATTAGAAATTGTGACTATTACGAGTATTTATTGTAAATATTTCTTCCCTGAAAAAGTCTTAATCAACCTGAATGTTCTACCTACAACATCATATCAACAAGACATACTAATGAAAATCTTTAAACGTAATGAAATCAATTCAATAAACACTAAATTATGCAATTTCAACATAAAGGTTGTCATCGTTCAACAGGAAAGAACCAAAAAACCTAAATAACGACACAAATTATAATAATTTAGATTCAGTTCAAAAGAGAATGTAAATTGATATCGAATGTGAATAAATATTTCTGACTAATATTCAGATTATGAAAAATTTTTTGCTGTTTTTTCCTTCTTCTTATCTTTTTGCAGTTCTTCTTCTTGTAAGATTAAACTGATGTTGTAGATTATTCAATCAACGCAAATGAAACATTACCAACAAAGGAACAAGTGCTTAAAATACTTCACTATAGAGAACCGATATGAATTATACTAAAATATTAATAAAAGGGAATAATATAACAATGTAAAATGAAAAACACGACTAATTATAAAGAAAAACTGTTGATAGTTATAAACTATCAAACGATTCTGATTTTTCGTCATATATACGGAATAGTGGATTGAAGACAACAAGATATTTGTTCTATTTTCTATCCAAGATCATAAACCTGTATCAAAATTAGACAATCATATGATCTTTATTCATTAGTTGCAAAAGGAACATTTTTATTTACAAATAATAATAAAAATTAAATACAAATAGTCATATTAAGATTTTTTTTGTTGAATTATCAGCTATAATGACTAGAAAATGAAAGAAAATCATTATTTAAAAAAATAAGCAAATATCGAAACTATTAACTTACTGTAAAATTCATAATGACATGAATTTCGCCATGAGATGAGAGACCTAATTTAGCTGGTAATTTGATCCATTCATCAAATTTACCATCATCAAAAACATGTTTCAATTTAATTTTACCACTTCCAACTGAATCTCTACCAATGAGATCATCATCATATACATCAAAGTGAATTGTATCATCACCCTTATGAATATTAAATGTAAATCGTTCATTCCATACTGGATCATTGGTATTTTTGATGATTTTTGTACGTTGTTTATATTTTTTTTCTAAATAAACTTCTACATATGCATCATTTTTACCGATAATATCACGATCTTTAAGATGGCGTCCTTCAGCAATAAAAACTTCTAATGTACCAGTTGGCATTGTATGTATTTGTGTTTGTGTTTAGTTTTGATATAAAAACTGAAATTGAATATCTTGTGCTTCATTCCATTCTGCTTTTATATCGAAGGTAAGAGAAACGAACGCCCTCGAATATTCTTATCTTTGTTCTCTGTCGTCATTTGTTTTATGTTCTGATTCATTCAGACATCATACTCATATTCATTGATTCAGTTTTTTGTTGCTTGTCATTGAATTATTAAGTCATAGTATTCTGAAATATGTGTGTGAATAAAAAGAAATGAATAATTATGATGAATAAATGATATTGATTAGTCATTATAAATATTCAGAAAAAGATTTGAAAATTTCAAATAACTATACTAACAATTTTAACAAACTCATGTACAAGTTCAACAGATAGCTGTGTTTACGGAATCCATTAAACAATGAGATACGTTACATAGGTCACTCGAATTTGATTCAAGTTCTATGTTAATTACCAATAATTCATAGAAAAAGGGAGAGAATTATTTTCTCGAGTGAACTGATACTCTAATTCGTCTTAAGAATAAACACTGGCTTTATTTTGTAATCAATTTATCTATTGTATATAATTCTTTCCTTGTATAAGACTTATAACCAGTTCGATCCGACCAGATCAATTGGAACAGTTGAACCGGCGGTTTTTAACAGTCAAAAAAATGCCTAAAATATACCATTTGGTTTTCCTGATAAATGTCACTAGAGCAAGTTTTAGCGCATTTATCAGAACAAGTAATCTTTTTTCAAAATGTCATTTGCATCTGTTTCGGTTTGTCGTCACCGATTTTTTTTTTTGCTTTTTACAAAGCACAATCAGCCTTATTACACAAACTAGATCAATTTAATTAATGCATTAATATTTTGTCAGAAATCAGACTTCACTTGAAATTTTAATTAATAGAAAGACAATATGTTCTTTCGTAGATCCGAAGTGGAAAAAATAAACAATTGAAATTTTACGACTCAGTTTTTGAAATGTAGCTGTTTTCTTTTGTGCTAGAGAAATGCTCCTAATACAACTTTCGTAGAGCTAACATGTTGAAATAATTAGGATTTGATATTTTTCTTTGAAGAATCGTGAAAATCTTTTAATAAATCGACTGGCTTTTGTTGGTTTCAAGAATTATTTAACTGGCCGGATCGGACCGTCTAAAATTTACACTAGCCGAACCACATCATATTTGAAAATTTTGGACCGTTTACAATTTTGTATTGTATCATGTCGTTGAGAATTTACAGAATGAACTAAAACATTCATGACAATTATTACTATTATCATCCTTTTATCTAATATAGGAGAAAAATTCAAAAATGATAATAGTAATGATCCTAAGAATGCAAACTGTTATAATGAATAAAAGTTTAACTTGAATCGTGCAACTAAAGATAAATTTTTATAATTTGGCTAAACTAAATGTTTTACTTGTTGTAGAACAACGGGCTACAAGTATCGATTTAAAATTAATATGGTCGATTTAGATTTCTGACGAGAATACGAATAAAAATAATGTTGAAAAGATTCGTATTCATTTAAAGTCATAATTAAATAACCGTCAATGCATTACTAGAAGACAAAGTTGTATGAACCTTTTTATGAATTCTTTCGATTTCCGTTTATTTTTTTATTGATTAAAATAAAGATAAAAGACTTTTTTTTATATTATGAATACATGAATCACGGACCAAGTTCATTTATAATATTTTAAGTATTTGAGACAAAACGAATTGAAATAAACTAATTTTCTGACTGATAAACCTCTTGTTTGACTGCCTCACAAATCTGATTGTATATGAGTGACTACTCTTTTTATTTTCTCTTCATTGTTGATTCACTGTACATACTTTCATTTATTGTAGCAAAATTTATAAATCAAATGTACTTGAATTATATTACAAATGAGAAGAAATACTTGTTCACTAAGAGAACCAAATACTTTTCATGTTGCCTTGAATTTACAAAAATTTCGACATTGTTCAGAATTCGTTCATATTTGGATTCTTAATCTTAATGATTATTTTCAATATTACTTTCTTTTTCTTGAAGACAATATTTTAGTAAATTTTATCTGCAGAGAAAAAAAAGACTTACGTTGAACTAGATTTTATCGATAAAAATAGAGGAATTCTTTATATTAATAAATACTCGTGATTAATTAAATTTTTATGATCATTCTGATATTCTTGAACACAAAAAAGTAACTCTAACATAACCTTAGTTTTGCTGAGTCATATCCTAATGATCAAAATATGAAGAATAAATGGTAAGCTAAATAATAGTTGCTTTTGTATTTTGACGTCTATAATTCTTGATAAACTTTGTTGATGAGCCATGGTATTCGAATTTCTAACAACATAGAAAATAATCAATGACTCATTCAAATAACTGATTTATTATTTTTTCATGAATAAATAATGTTATAAAAAGACTATAATCGAATGACAGAAGTTTACTTATCCATTATTGCAGTTTTTTTTTTCGAGATATAGTAACATTTAGTGTGTTGCCCATATAATAAATCAAAAGAGAAAAAAGAAATTATCGATGCATCAGATGGTGTTCGTTTATTCGTATGATTCTTTTTCTTTTCTGAAGTTAGTTGTTTGTTGGTTATTGCGAGGAAGAGAAAAAAAATGAATGATTCATTCTATTGAATCATCTAATATATATATATATAACCGACTTTTTCTTTTTGGTTTTACAAAGAAAAAAATAAGCTACAAAAAAAATGGATGACAGAGAATTTGATCAAGTACCACAAATTTTATTTCAAAGTATATCTTCACTTGAAAAAATCGGTTGTCCAGGAACACTTATTCCATTAACCAGTGATACTCGTGCTGTTTTATGTGGTGCAGACTCAAATAATGTTATTATTGTTGCTACTCGATTTGGTCAGGGTCGTTGTTTAGTATTTGCTCATAATGGTTATCCAGGAATATTTTTAAATATTGAAAAAAAAAATCAGCAGTTTGTTGAAAATTGTCGACGATGGCTTGCAAGAGGACATCAAGCTGAATTTTTATCAATTAATGAAGCTAAAACTATGAATGATCTAGCAGCTCATGGAAAAATTCTTGTTTGGGATGGTCATTATTCAAAATCAGAGACATTTATGAATGATTTAGTAAAGAAAATTTTTTAAGTTTAAATTGTATTTCTTATGGTTTTCTTTTTGCCTTTTGCTAGTGTGATTATTTACAACGTGGTGGTGCATTGGTTTGTGGAACAACAGCATGGGGTTGGTTACAAATAAATCGTGGCAAACTTTTAACAGATTTTCCATTTGCACGTTTTTGTGATTATGTCGGAGTTAAAGTTACAGATAATTATGCAAATTGTTCGGATTCATTACAATTTCGAGAAGATTTAATTCAATTTAAAAATGTTTATAATGTTGTTAAAAATTTAACAAATAATCCAAATAATGTACAAGATTTAGGTATTGTGGGGTCAGCTATTAGAGAATTAGGTGATACATTACCTGGAGTTCCAATTGAAACATTACAAAATATTGTTATGAATGCAAGTCAAGAAGTAATACCAGCTCATAGTTGTCCAGTTCGAGACAAAACATATCGAGATCAATCGAGTGGAATTTGTGGAATTATGTGTGCTTTGCCGGGGATTAAGGCACCAGGTAGAATAATATTTATTGAATTGATTTAAAAAAAAATTATATTGAAATTAAGGTGTACGACATTTTCCGGGAGATTTTGATCGACCGCCACATATTTTAACAAATGTTCAATGTCATATAGAATCGAAAGCTAATGAATGGTATTGCACAGGTAGAAACGACAAAAAAAAGATATAATTAGATAAAAAAAAATTTCTTTGTTTTTTTTTTCTTATTAGGATATTATGTGGCTGCTGGTATTCCAATTCAGATTGATATTTTAGAACAAAAAGGACCAACTGGATGGTCAGCTAGAATTGGATGTCATAGTGATGACCTTGGAGTATAGTTTTAACCTTATAATAGAATTATAAAATATTTCTTTGAAAATAGAGTTGTGATGAACTTCGCCGATGGCCTTGCATTTCAATATGTAAGCCATTATCTAATAAGACAACGAAAATGAGTTCAGCATTTGGTGGTTTACTGTTTTTTCAAAATTCTAATAATGAATCAAGTTCGATCACTGTTAATCTTCATCATGTAGTTTTAACACCAACATATGATTTAACGGATCAAAATCGTGCTGAACTATGGAAATATAGATGTTCTAATGCCTCTGGTTTATGGGCTGATATATCTGGTCGATATATTGCATTTAATCTTCCATCTAAAAGTGTAGTACATTTAAAACCTGCTGAATTAGACCGAGCTATACAATTTTGGGATTCGATTATTCTTGCTCATCATGAACTACGTGGAACGAAACCAACACATCGTGAACGTATTGTTTGTGATGAACAACCATCGGCTGGTTATATGCGTAAGAATTCCATTTTCTATATTTAAATATTGAAAAACAAAACAATCAATTATATTTTAGATAGCGGATATCCAGTTGTTACACATATGGATATAAGTTATCCGAATTCAGATGATTTTATATTTAATAGTGAGAAATTAGAAAAAAAGGGAGCCTGGGGTTTATTTCATGAACTTGGACATAATATGCAACAAGGCTGGTGGAGTAAGTACTCGATGATTTTTGTTTTTTTCTGAATAAAATAAGAGAAGTATTTTCTTTTGTTTTTTTTTTATCTAGCATTTGATGGTACTGGTGAAGTAACAGTAAATATATTTACTTTACATGGAATGGACAAAGTTTGTCATCTTGAACCATGGATACATTCATGGTTAAAAGATCAAATGTCAAGTACAAAAACATATATTGAAAAAGGATCAAATTTTAATGAGTGGAAAGAGAAACCCGGTGTTGCTTTGTTTATTTATGCTCAATTAGCTCGAGAATATGGTTGGCAAAGTTATAAAGATGTTTTTCGTAAATATGAACAAATTCAACCAACACTAAATTCCGATCAAGAAAAGATGGATTATTGGATAACAGCGTTTTCAAGACAAGTTGATCATAATTTAGCACCATTATTTAAATTTTGGGGTTTTCCAATATCGAAATCAACTATTGATGATTTGAAAAAACTTCCTATTCCACAAATTTTTGATGAATTTATTCAAATAGCACCAGAACGTTATAGTATTTAAATTTTTTGGTTTTTTTTTCTTTCCTCAAAATATCATTTTTATGTTTATTCCAAATATATTATTAATGCACGATATTTTTAAACTAAGCAATATGGTAAAAAGATACATCTTTATTATTTTATAATAAACAAATATTGAAAAGATAATATTAATTTTTCGAATAAATCGGTGGCTTCTTCGCTGCAGTTAACAGCAAGTCATGATCTTCTTGTTCATGTGAAACTTTATTTATTAAACGAAATGCTGGTCGATCTTGTCGTATTCCATCTTGTGTTCGAGAGAAAAATGTTCGAGAAACTTTTGGATCTCTGTATAATTAATTAAATAAAAAACAAATGAAATATTTTATTTACACATATAATATAATAGTATACTTTTTTAAAATTTCAAGTGCATCTCGTGTTTGACATGTTCTCGAATCTTTTGGACCATAAACAAATTCTTGTAAATCAAGACACTAAAAGAAAACAAAATATTTTATTTCAAAGAAAAATTTCTATTTTTATATACTTGTTTTAAATGTTCAGCTGCATCAATATATTCGCATTCACGTAAATAAATAGCACCAATACGTGATTCAGTTTGAATAGCTTCTTCTGAAAAATCACCAAATAACCGTTTTTTATCAGGCAAACTATCACAAAGTACATTTAAGGCATCCTAAATTAAATCATCGAATAATCTTTCAATACAATCATATTATTTTTATAACATATAGAAAAAAAAATCAATGCTTTTCCAAAAATCACATCTATTTTCGCAAACTAGTGAGTGCAAGCGACTTCTTCTCTTTAGGCTCTAACAATCAGAGAGGAAGGATGGCAACGATCATTGGCTATGTTGTCACAGCAACCGAAGCAGGGGCGTACCCAGGGGGCCCGGGCACCCCCTTAGCCAAAAAACACCTGGAGGGGGGTACGGGTAAAAGATTTTTTCGGGAAACAAAAATTATTTTTCCTGCTAGTGTCTATCCCCATAATGAGTCGGGTACCCCCCTCAGAAAATTCCTGGGTACGCCCCTGAACCGAAGACAACAGATATCATATTTCTTTCCAGGAGTTCCTTAACAAAAGGTAAAGGTGCTGAACGGTATCAAAAACAACACCTAGACTGTTCTAGAACATTTCAAAGCCTTCCTCGAAATTGGAATAAATGGAATACGGTTGTGAATGCTCTAAACAGTGTTTTTTTTATTTTTGCCCAGATACAAACTGATATTTAAAATGTCAAGGAGAGCCTAGAAGAAAGTCTTGGCAAGATACTGACAAAAGCTTAAAAAGGCTTGTCCCTATCGCCTGTTGGCGCCGAGTTATGACCGATTTACTGAATTGTCGACTCATCTGCAAGTAGTTCTCGAAAAGTCAAATCATGGAGTTTCGATCTAGAATTTAGTCTATAGATAGGCCTGGTGGACCTTAGAATATTCTAAAAGTTTCATCCGAAAAGAATGTTCCTTCATCAAGATATTGAATTTCTAAAAATACCCCTTTGTCACAAAAATCGAGTACACTTGAAAAATTCAATATCTTGATGAAGGAGCATTCTTCTCGACTGAAACTTTCAGAATATTCTAGGAGTCATTAGAGCTAATTATAGAAAAAAGTTTTGGATCAAAATTCGATGACTGGATTTTTCGGGAAGTACCTAAAATGGGTCGAAAGTTCAGCAAATTTGCTATAATTCAGCGACAAAATCCTCATAGGGACAAACCTTTTTAGACTTCTGCTAATCTAACTGAGACCTGCTTGCGTGTCCTATGTAAGCTCAAATTATGGGTGCCAGTTGGAGTAGTATCCTCTTTAACATATTATTATTTTGTATTAGTATAATAAGGATAAAGAATACATTTGAGTTTCACAGTTTAGTCGCAAAGGAGCTAAATTGACATTATTTGTAATAGAAAGAATTTTATTGATATCAAGTCAGTTAACAAACCTGAAAATTTTCCACTTTCGTGTAATAAGTAGCTAATTCATCGATTACTTTTAAAACACTTGTATCATTTTCATCATTTACTTGTTGGTATAATTCAATTGCACGCTTAAACTTTCTTTCTGTATTTTCTGAAGAAAAAAAAGTCAATCGATACACGATATTCATTTAATTGTTTACCTGTTAAACGATCAATTTTTACTCGTGCTTTTCCCCATTGAAAATTTGCATTTGCAAGTTGATATTTATGTATATCTGATGGTTCTTGTTTTTCTTGTTTTTCAGCTAATTCAACTGCTATTTTATAATTATTTAAACCATGTTCAATTTCATCATCAAAATGAATTAAATAATATCCTGAACGTAAATAAGTATCAATTTTATGTTTTATTGGATCATTTGAAGAATATTTATCAATATTTTCAATAATTTCTGCTACTAAATTCCTTATTCTATGATCAAATTCTCTTAAGTTATTAATAATTATATCAAATTTAATTAATAAATAATCCATATTTTTTCCATTATAATCACTTGAATTCATTGGACCTTCCAATTTTTTTAAATATTCTTCAACTACATTAAGATCATGCTCAATATGTGTTGTATCAATTGATTGAATATGTTTATTTTTTATTTTGATATCTCGTTGAGATGAATGTCGTTTTGCATGAAAAGAACATTTAATTAATAAAAGATATACTTCAAAGCCAAGTAAATTTTGTAGGAGTTGATCATCAGTAGGTTTTATATTTAATTGTTCAAGAATTTGTCGAGCTTTTAGGATATGAGATTTAGCTTGAGGTGATAAATCTTTATAATACAAAAAACAAAAAGAAAAAGATGATTTAGTTTTATATTTAAAAATAAAATTACTTAAAGCATCAAGATAAAATTTGCTTAAATTTAAATAAGCACGAGCATTTTCAATAGATATTTCACCATATTCAAGGCTTGTGTAAAGTTGTACAAGCACAAGAGAATTAAGATATTCTTCTGGCTAGAAAAGAAAAACAAGAAAAAATAGAAAAAGATTTTATTTAAAATGAAAAAGATAAATAAATACAGTTGAATCATCTTTAAGTAGTTTCATTTCTTCTTCTAAACTTTCGATTTTTTCTTTTGTTGTACGAAGATCTACACCAGAATAAAGAATATTAGGTTCCGATGATAATGGATATGGATTCGATATGGTTTCAGATCGTCTGGAATCAGTATTTAAACTTGAACGACGATTCCTATGTCGTCGTTTACGACTGGCACTTAATGGACGAGCTTTTAGTCTATGAAGTTCAAGTATAAATGTATGATATTAAAAACAATTTTAAAAAAGCATGACCTACTTTGCAGGCATTAAAAGAACGATTTTTTTATTGTAAAAAAAAACGATTTATAAATTACTGTCAACAGCCATCATTAGAAATTTAATTTACGAGTTGTCATGAATACACCACAGTGACAGAGGGCAGTATTAGATAGAGATTATTCATCACAGAGCTTATAAAAATTCATTCCAGTTAAACTTTTTAGATGCAATCAAATAACTGACGAATACTATTGTTCATTGACAAAGGATTTTTTCTCGTTCATAAAAATACTATAGAGAATATTATTATCATTTTAACTAAAATGATTCAAATTTTGATGAATAAAAATATCATCGATGATAATTCACATTTGATTTCGTATTATATGGAATATGAAAATATCATGTTTTTGTTGTGTATGCAAAAATAAGACACTTTTACTTAATAATATTAGTAATAATAAAGCTTTATTAAAAATGTATGAAACTAATGGAAATTTAAACTTCCATTTGATTAATTATGATATTAACTGATGAATTAAAAATATAGTGCTTGGACTTATAGAAACAAGATTCAACTTTAGGAATCTTTATTAACTTATTATAACAATAATCATTAGACTTTAAATGTATTATTTGCATCGGAAACGTTATTTCACGCTTGTTTATTTACCGCAAGAAAAAAAAAATGCTTGTTACAATATTTCTGATCAAGGCTCCTTTAACGTCAGCGACCTACAATTCCATGAGCATAAAGAGCTTTTTGAAGTTCAATTGGAATTGTACGTTTATCAAATGGTATAATGTACATTCGACCATTTGAAGAACCATGACTTTGTACTTTTGATGAATAGCGGGAACGATTTGTAATTCGTGGTTGACTAGTCTCACTGTGGAATAAACGAGACCAAGCATCACTTTGACTCGATTCAATATCTTCACGGATGAATTTTTTCAAATCAAATGGTTTATTTCGATTAGTAGGAAATTCTAATTCATCATCATTATTATCAAAAAATATTGGGCCATTAATTCCATTTGCCAATGCATGATTTTTATTGATACAAAGAACCAGTACAAAGAAGATCATGAGAATTCGTAAAGATGAAGTAAATTTGAAAATATTAGCCTATAATATTAATATAATGAATATTTGTTTTTTTCATACATCTGTATATTTTACCTTGCTCATTGTTAAAGAACTATTCAATGTATTAATGTTATTCAATGGAAACGAAATGATTCTTATACTTCTATCTTTCTCTTTATATATATATCTGCAACAATGTTTTTTTTTCCTACTTGCGTAGGATTTGAGTAAAATGAAACTAATCTCTAATTATTTTCTTTGGTAATCTTCAGATTATTAATATACCAGCCATTCAATTACTCAGGTAATAAGAACAAGCATTGATAGTGAATTCTATTACTCATTGACCACTATTCTTTACGATAATCAGTCTTAATAGTCCTGTTAGTTTTTCTTAATAATATTGTATTGTTGTTAAAAATTTCATGAAACATTGCCGTCATTAAGATTAAAGAAAAACTAGTAGAAAAAATATATATATCACCTTTTCCTATCGATAAACAGTCGTGTAACTTGAAAATATTACCGAAAAAGATTCTTTTTTTCTCGAATGAAATAAAAATGAAAGCCTTTCTCATATTCTAATAGACATTGTTTCTTTTTTAGGATCGTAATATTATCTGTGACTTTGTTTTACTTATATGATAAAAAAAAAAAGATGCAATAAATGGATCAGATGAATTAATTGAAAAAAAAACAAAAATAGTTTGTTTCTACTACCTACTCTGTTCATATGACATTCATTGACTCATCCACATCTTTTAGTTCAAAGTGTTCATTGTTTAAAAATAGATATTAATCAAATCTGCACAACATGAAGAAAATAGATAATAACAGCGACGAAATTAATCGTTGCAACACTGGTTATGTTTTTTTTATGCTTGTTATTTCTGTAACATGTTTCTAAGACCACTAATGTGTTTAGAAATTCTATATATTATTTATTTAATAAACGAATTATTTTCAGTTGATTTCAGAGAGTAAAAAAAAAGTAAATTCTCTGAAGACAATTGATAAGTTTAATGAACTTTTTTCTTCAATGACAATAGGATATTATTAAATTCAACCATGTTTCGATGTTGGTTTTTGTTTTTGTTTTTTTAAGTAAAATTTATCGTATGATAGTGCATTAAATAAAGATAAAAGTAAGTAACAAATAAAACACCTTTACATCATCATACAAGACATTTGATTTGTCATCAACAATGTTTCTGCATTATCTCTTCTATTTGTTGATATTAATTTCACAATTAACTACAATACATTCCGATTGTTCATTTATTGAATTATGTACTTGTGACACAAATAAAAATGTAGTAATATGTGATGCTAATTATGGTAATCAAACGGATAATGATTATTTTTCTTCATTTTCCTTATTACCATCTGTTGAGAAATATATTTTTCGTAATTTTCAACAAATTCAATCACATGCTTTTCAAAATATGACATTTCTTACGAATAGTTTAATAACAATTCATCTTGTTAATATAAAAATGATTAATTCTGATGCATTTTCATCAAGTATAATTATACCTGATAATTCAACAATATCAATTGATATTGAATATTCAACTAACCCATCAAGTATAACATTACAATTAAATGCATTTAATCATATGAAAATAAATCGTCTACGTTTTTTTAAAATAAATAATTTTAATGGAAGTCCTATATTTAATACGAGTTGTTTTGGGGAAGATTTACAAATCAATGAATTAATTTTTGAACAATCTAGTATAACCGCATTTTCAAATATTATACGAAAACCTTCTAATATTAAAAATCTATATATTCTTGAATGTCCAGCATTTACACAAATAACCAATAATAGTTTACCATCATTTCTATTAACAACAGAATTATTAGAAATTTCAAAAACTGGACTTCAATTTATAAGTCTTCATACATTTCAAGCACGATCACTTATACTTAGAGAATTAATTATTCGTAATAATATTTATTTAAAAAAATTTTCATCAAATATCATTGATGGAGTTTTACAAAATTTAGATAAACTTGATTTAAGTAATAATTCTATCAATATATTTGAAGAAAATTTTGATTGGTTACCATATAGTTATATAAAACATTTAATATTTAAACAACAACAATTTGATTTATTTCTTAAAACAAATAGTTTAAAAAATTTAAAACATTTACAAACAATTGATTTTTCTGAAGGATTTATTAGTGAAAATAATGAAAGTTTAATACATGATTACATTCCTAATATGCCTAATCTTGTTTCAATTAATGTTTCACATACAAATCTAACTGAAAATATGATTATTAATTTACTTGAACGTTTAAGTAATTCAATAAATCAAACTATAAAAATCAGTTTACTCGGTTATAAACTTAATGTTGAGAATTTTTGTTCATATTTTACAATATTTACAAAAACATCAAATTTATTTCAACTTGAATTAGATGAAACACATGAATGTAATTGTATTGTTGATTTATTCTTTAATGATACACACATACCAATAAGTATGAATGATTCATTAATTCAACCTACATGTATATTTAATACTACACGAACACATTGTGATATTCAATCACAATTAATCATATCAAAATGTTCTATCAATAAACCAAATCCGGATGGATCAGATACAAATAATGATAATGGTGGTAATTACAAATTTATTGGTATTATGGTTGGGATGGGTGGTGTTTTATTAATTTTATTAGCTGTTGGTTCAAGTATAGCCTATCGACGACGACGAAAAAGTCGACGTGGGACTATTATTGATATGGAAGAACCTATTGAAAATCCATTGGCAGTAATTATAGAAGAACGTTTGAACACTTCACATTAAATCTTCTTTTTGCTAAATATTTCCTGTCATCTTTTCTTTTACTTTGAAAGTTTACACATTCTTAAATTTTCCAATGGCAGCTTTGAGAAAGGTGCCAGATGTTTTGAAATCTTAAGAAATTTTCATCAGAAATTATTAACGAGAATTTTTAATGTATAATTCGAAAGCCTATTATTTGGTGTTTAGGCGTATATATCAAGTCATTTTTTGATTGAAATGTTTTTTTCTATCAGCATTATGCGGAGAAATTGTTGCTAATATCAATTTTTTTTCTCTTAGTCAATCTTACTTATATTCATATTCGAATTTTCAAATTCATCGTTCATAATTGAATCAAAGTCAGTTTAATAAGTGAAAAAGTGCCTTCTTAAAGTTAAAATTTATTTCATCTGGAAGGAATCATTTATTAGAATGGCGATTTTTAAACAGAAAAGAGTGTTTCGTTTAGTTCAGAAAGACTTTACATTCAAGTGATATTATGTTAGAGTAGTAGTCTCAAAACTCTGTACGATGTAACAGTGATGGAGCCAGAAGAAGTAGAAGAAGAGTTTTTCCCCCCTAGCCGAAAATCCTGGCTCTGCCACTGCTATGCAATGATTATAGTAGAACGACAATGGCACATTAAATCGCAGGTAAAAATTAAATTAAAAGTTACAATCACATTCGTAAAAGTTCGGATCTAGAAAAAAGATGACCATTCGATAGAATGTCAGAGAGCATTCCAAAATACAAATCTCTAAATTCGACATTAATTCCTTGTTAAATCAGACGATCTGGTCGCCCTAGTAATGCTGAAAGATGGCGCTTTGTTCAAGAAAAAGTATTGGTGAAAAAGATGACTGTTAGTTTTCAAATGAGTCATACTAGTTATCTTATTTAGTTAAAAAAAGCACCGAAAAAATACAAAACATAAAAATCCTTCTTTTTCAATTAAAACATTAAATATGGCTTGGGCTTGTGTTATGCCTGAAGAATTATCTGTAGTTCCAAGAGGTCTTGTATGTTTAACAAATCTTAATACACGTCATCATCCAGTACATCGTTCTATTTGGGAGTTACTTGATAAAGAACGACCTAATGCACCACTACGTTATCGACTTGTAGATATCGATGAACAATATCCACATAGCAAAGCGAAAGTTTGTCTTGTTTGTTAATTATCGTATGTTGTATTGCTTTTTTTTATCTCTTAGCGTGCTACATATGAATGGTATGTTCCAAAAGGCATACTCAAAACAAATTGGATGCATAAACATTTACATTTAGTACCAAGTTTAATAGTTATCTTTTTTGAACTTGATTGGAATGATTCAATATTTAAAGATAAACAAAATGAACTAAAAAATAAAATTGATATGGTCAGGTATACATATATAAATATATATATATATATCTATTTGAATATATGTATTAATTTTAATGAATATTTTCTAGAACAAATCTTGATGGTCGTACTGCTGCTATTTCAGTAGTACTTCTTCAAAATAAAAATAGTTTTCCAACAGGTGAGTTTATCAATTGTTTTTAGTAAACTGGTATGGATATCGAAAAGATAGATTAACCCTTTGACATCGATGATCATAATTCTTATACATAGACTAGACTTAAACCTGCAAGGCTTTTATCAGTATCATCTATGTCAGAACAGAGCAAGCAGCGAAAGAGCCTGTTCGACTAGCAAGTGTCCCAGAAGAAATTGTTCTAAATCTTAGTACATTTTTTTCTTCTCATTCCTTAAGCATATAAAAATTCTACTTGATGCCTACAGATAGAGAATTTCAAGATCTACAAAATTGTTGACTTTGTTTCTCAAACAACTTTCTCTCGTCAGTACAAAAGTTAGAAAAAGAACACCTATTTAGTTGTCCGACTACGACGGTCAAGAAAACAAAAAAACCTAAAGTAAAAAAAGCAGAAACATTCGAAAAACTCTTTTTCAGGTAGACCTATACCATTGTTGGTGTCTAATTCGGAACATTTTCATGGTTCAATCTGATATTTATACTATTTTGATCAGAACTAAATTCTACATTCGATAGCATACGAATAAATATTTTCATAGAGCATTTTGAAAAAAATCATTTTCCGAAGTAACCACAAAAATAACGACAGTTTTTTTGTCGTAAACACTAGTCTCGAGAACTCTAAAATTTATCATAAAGGCAGAGAGCACAAAACTCTCTATCTGTTGGTATCAAGTAATTTACTTTTGGCATCTGCTTTGCTGAGCAAAGACTTTACGTAAATGAATAAGCATCAACAGAATCGTCATCA